AGATTGCAATTGTACCGACTGCAGAAAGGAAGATGAGGAATATTGGAAGGTAATTATAATATCTAAAAAGATCTTAATAGAATATCTTGAGAAATTGTTCCAACACCTTCAGAAGCAACAAACTGATATCATTATATACATTTGAAAATCTGAGTGGCTCTGTTCAAACTTTAGGTCATTTAAAAACAAACTAAATTCGCCATCAATATGATATCATCTGTAAATTCAATGATCTTTATTGGTTATGCAGGCAATTCAGGGGAATTCTCCACTATCAAACCGGTATCTGCTATCGAATGGATTGTATTTTTCATCTGTTGTTTCTATATTCAATTTAATATTATCAGCACCTTTTTGAACAAGACACATTATTTGTCTACTTGGAAAATATGGAACGTCCACTAGCGTCGAATTTGACAGTAGGAACCACAAAATTCAATTGCATTTAACATTTATAAAAGATATTTTGAACCAAACTCATTATACATTTGTAAATCCAATCTTAAATGAAATGGAATGAAACTTGTTTATGGCAATAGAAACAATTGACTTAACAATTGCCGAGCATTTGCGCATTTTCTCAAATGATATTTCATAAGGGAGCTACCATTTGATTTCTATGGGGGGATAGGATGAAAAGTTATTTCCTGCATTTTATTTTAGTTGCAATCTCTGTCCTGCCTTTTTATTTTTCACTCTATTCAATCGTGCCTTTTTTATAACTTTATCCTGACTTGTTTTACATAAATTGTCATCCTGCCTTTTTTTTTGCAAAGTTGCTCATCCTGCCTTTTTTTCTCCTCAAAACTCCTGTCCTGCCTTTTTTTTTTAATTTCATCCTAGCCCCTCCTCCCCCCCCCCCCTCCCCATAAAAATCAAATGGTAGCTCCCTAAGAACATTCTAAATAATTGCTATACGCAGTATCATACAGTTAGCATGTATAAACCATAATCAAGGCGTAGACATATTTTGAATTGACAATATAAAGACACTCTATAGACAAAGAACATAACAAAAATGAAAGACAAGAATACAAAATTTACCATAGCACAATAACGCAATGGCGGGATGTATAAGTACCGAGCCACGCCAAAAATGGAAGCATACGCTATAAATTTATTGCTTTGGGATACCATACGGCATATGTTGTTAATAGTGAACAAAAAGGTAAAACATGCTACACAGAGGGACAAGTCCTCAGATTATCTGTTCAATGTAGTGTTCATTGAAGCCATGAAGGACTTATGATAAGCCAAAATCTCATCTTCGTCAAATGATATGTTTTGTATGTGGGATTACCTGAGTGCTCATTTATTCCTAATTCTTTTACAAAGACAATATCATTTGAAGTTTTGTCCGCAGGAACAACAACATATTTATCGTGAAGAGATGATAGAAATTTCACAGCTTTTTTGTCATTGAAAACGGACTTTGGTCGATCATTCACACAATTTTTCAATTAATGAATTCGACGTTTTATCAGAGACCTGATTGTTTTGGCCAATTCTGACAAAGTGTCCAGTTCAACTTCTTCTCGTTAAGCTCATGCTCTGGAGTAGTCCTCAATGGAATCCATAATTATTTTGAAGTTATGGTTCCAATTAATGTTTTAGGGTTCTCTGAACTTAGGACCATGAGATATCACCTTTCTCTGGAGCTCTTCAGTTAAAGGCAAAATTTGAGATTTAAACACACTTCATCTCAGCAAAATCTGGGACACCAGCTATTGTCCTCGTCTGATAGATGATATGAAAGAGGAAATAAAAGTCCATGTATCTTTGGAAGCTTTTCAATCTTATCAACATACCAACGAAAGAACGCAGGTATAACCACATCGAGCAAAGTGACTTATTAACTAATGGTAGAACTCTAACTGTGTTAACACTTCCCATTCTTAAAACATTGGCAGTCAAAGGTTGATGGCTTTCCTCATTGGTCTTGCTGAGCGATAATATACTGTCTGGATGAAATGGTGTTTTCCAATAGACTTGTTCTAGTCCAAATATTTGTTCATAGTAACAAATTATGTTGACTTATCATTTTGCTTCTCGTCATTTATGTGTGAGAATGAATAAAGGAGATAATTAGGGCTGACTTATGAAAGATTGCAATTGTACCGACTGCAGAAAGGAAGATGAGGAATATTGGAAGGTAATTATAATATCTAAAAAGATCTTAATAGAATATCTTGAGAAATTGTTCCAACACCTTCAGAAGCAACAAACTGATATCATTATATACATTTGAAAATCTGAGTGGCTCTGTTCAAACTTTAGGTCATTTAAAAACAAACTAAATTCGCCATCAATATGATATCATCTGTAAATTCAATGATCTTTATTGGTTATGCAGGCAATTCAGGGGAATTCTCCACTATCAAACCGGTATCTGCTATCGAATGGATTGTATTTTTCATCTGTTGTTTCTATATTCAATTTAATATTATCAGCACCTTTTTGAACAAGACACATTATTTGTCTACTTGGAAAATATGGAACGTCCACTAGCGTCGAATTTGACAGTAGGAACCACAAAATTCAATTGCATTTAACATTTATAAAAGATATTTTGAACCAAACTCATTATACATTTGTAAATCCAATCTTAAATGAAATGGAATGAAACTTGTTTATGGCAATAGAAACAATTGACTTAACAATTGCCGAGCATTTGCGCATTTTCTCAAATGATATTTCATAAGGGAGCTACCATTTGATTTCTATGGGGGGATAGGATGAAAAGTTATTTCCTGCATTTTATTTTAGTTGCAATCTCTGTCCTGCCTTTTTATTTTTCACTCTATTCAATCGTGCCTTTTTTATAACTTTATCCTGACTTGTTTTACATAAATTGTCATCCTGCCTTTTTTTTTTGCAAAGTTGCTCATCCTGCCTTTTTTTTCTCAAAACTCCTGTCCTGCCTTTTTTTTTAATTTCATCCTAGCCCCTCCTCTCCCCCCCCCCCCCCTCCCCATAAAAATCAAATGGTAGCTCCCTAAGAACATTCTAAATAATTGCTATACGCAGTATCATACAGTTAGCATGTATAAACCATAATCAAGGCGTAGACATATTTTGAATTGGACATTCTTCTAGGGGAATTTGAGTTTCAATCTTTTTTTCAGTATACTGTAACACTGTTGCCTGTATCTCTGATATTTTAGGACATCTTTAATTGAATAGCATCCTTAATCTTCATGCTTCCACTTAATATCGTGTTCCGTTTTCCTTTGCCTTATTGTTACTAAACTGAAATGTCATTAAAATGCATGAGATCAAAACATAGCATCCCCAATTCTAATGCAACATCGTTTGTAACGTTCATTTTGATTGGAAAACGTCAGCAATTTTCATGACATCAATTCACAATTGATGCTATGAAAACGTACGCGCAAGCGCAGACGATGCATGACAGATTTTAAATGTATGATTTGTCGTTGTTTTCTGTCAGTTTCATTAGAATGGAGATAACAATATTGTATTTTAAGCTCCGACGGCATCAATTGGTGTTTTGATGGTCGCAAATACCCGTTTACTGTCTCCGCAAACGCGTCGCCAGTAAACTTTATTTGAGACCATCAAATCACCAATTGATGCCGTCGGAGCTTAAAATACAATACAGTTATCTCCTAATCGTCATGCTTCCATTGAATATCATGATCGATTTTTCTTAGCCTTATTGTGGATTTTTGGCAACGGAAATCTCCGCAAATACATGAGATTAGACTGCAGTTTCGAAGTAGAGTATTTCAACTAAGAATCAAGTAGTTCAGTGTTTTTGACATTTCACTTTTTATAAATACTTTGTAATGCAACCGGAATGGTTATATTTTTTTAAGTTTAAAGACTGACGGGGAAATTATAGTTCAACTATTAATCTGTCGTCAGCGCTATCTGCTACGGTCAGATTCTTCTTAACAAGAATTTTACTTGTAGACTTTTTTTTATCTTTTTTAAATGTTGCTAAAATAAACAAATGCTCAAGTCAAAGGACCTTTTTCTTGATCGCGAACAAAGACTCGAAACTTAGGGACATCGATGTTTAAATGGTAAGACAGATTTTTTTTCTTCAATCGTAAAAGGGAACAAATCTGATTTCTGGTGTCACTTTTGCAACATAAATCATTGTACGCTGCTTGCATAGTTTTAATTTGACAATATAAAATGGGGAAAATTCTTCTAAAACTTTGCAGTACACCTCATTCTCCCTTTTTGTTTATTGCAGTCACAAGATCACAAGAGTCAAGGGTCAATCGATATATTCAGCAATAATTCTTATATATATGATTTGCACATCTATACAAGTACTTACATGTGATTGCTCTGTTAGAAATGTTTTCCTTACAAAGTTACACTTCGATAGACTATGTTGACGAAATTACTCTCGTTAACTATGTTATTTGACTTTAATACGCGAAAACACATGAATGGAATCATTGGTTTTCACGAAATGACACATTAGGGTTGAGAATTGTAAGGATTGAAAAAAACACATTTCTCGAGGTTTTTTACTAGTTAACTTGGCTGATGCATTCCTACTTAGAATCAATACAATAATTTCATATTCGTCTCATCTTTCTTTATTCATATTCTGAAGTCTAAGCCAACCAAACAAAAAAAAGTTATAACCAAAAACTATTGGGACACTGCACGGCCTTCAACAATGAACAAACACATACTGCTTAGTAAGCTATACAGGCCCCGGCATGACAATAAGAAACAATTAACAAGTGAAAACCAACGGCCTGATTTAAGCTTAAAAATATGATAAAATATGGCTAAACAACTCTCAAGTTGGAACAATAAATGTTTGCAAACTTGGCAATGAGATCAACAATAATCATTTACCTTTTTTAAATTCCAGTACAGCATGTTCCAGATAGATGTCACATCCAGAAACTATAAACTACAATATGTTGTGTATTTAGCAACAAAATTAATATTCCAGAATTAAGGTTGAAATAGAATTTTATATATTATGGTTTTAGATGTTTCTTAACATTAGGTCATTTAGTTACGTTCACATGGTTTATTTTCAACCATTATATATGGTAATATCATAAAAAGTTAGTATATTTTCATTCTTAACAACATATTTTTATTCTGAAACAACATATACCACTGCAAATATTCTATAGTGAAATTGGTAATCTGTTCTACAATAATTATATAAAAAGGTAAAAATATATAATTGTTTTAGTCTGTTATTAGTCCGTTATTTCGGCTGGAAATTCGGAACAGATCAACAATTTCCCATTGTCAGTTTTTACTTCTAAATCTGCAACTAGACGCATCTGAAAACAAAATCAATAAAAAAGCTATATTTACAAAAACAAAAAAACAAAAATGCACATTTCTGGAATTAGATTGACAAGAAAAGCTCAAGATGTGTCAAAAATTTGTATAATCGATACCTCATGACAAAGCATGTTACATGACTATACAACAGACAGCGGGTGTGAAGATTATAACCAAATATTTATAAATGAGGTTCTAGTATATCCTATGTATAGAGTTCAGATCATATTTGGTTTTTAGAGCCTCTCTTCAAAGTAGAATTCACGTGTCAATTAAAATTCTTTAACCTTTAAAATAAAATTGAGAATGGAAATGGGGAATGTGTCAAAGAGACAACAACCCGACCATAGAACAGACAACAGCAGAAGGTCACCAACAGGTCTTCAATGCAGCGAGAAATTCCCGCACCCGGAGGCGTCCTTCAGCTGGCCCCTAAACAAATATATATATACTAGTTCAGTGATAATGAACGCCATACTAAACTCCAAATTGTACACAAGAAACTAAAATTAAAAATAATACAAGACTAACAAAGGCTAGAGGCTCCTGACTTGGGACAGGCGCAAAAATGCGGCGGGGTTAAACATGTTTATGAGATCTCAACCCTCCCCCTATACCTCTAGCCAATGTAGAAAAGTAAACGCATAACAATACGCTTTCTCTACATGACGATTCCAATTCCCTTACAGCTTTATAACAGTAGAAGCTGTATGTGGCTTATAATTGGTACGCCTTACATGCGTTTCGTCTACTAAAGACTCATCACTTGGCGTTCGAATAAATACATTAGAAGATGTACTGATGATAAACTGTAGTTTTATTATATTTTATCAGATGCCAATATTCATGATTTCCGTGAATCTAACTAAAGCACATAAATCTAAAGATTGAATGTTGATTGCTTAACATCCAGTGTCTATAATTATTTCATGCATATTCATGACACCTAATACAATACGCATGTTTTTCAAAGGTCGGAAGACACCGATGAGGGGCGGCAAATTTGGACTGCCACTTAAAAACAACGTCAATTTGGATGGGGGTAGACCATATTGCCTTGCAACATGCGGACTCCCCACCTTTTCTGGTTTTTCTGGCCGATCGTAAGAAACGTGACCATAGTTTTACACTCAGTCACCTTACAAAAATATGCCACCTCACATTACCTTCTACTGGAAGAGTCGTTCATTTTAATTAAAAATAGTATTTGGGATTCTAAGAATATAACTCACCTTAGGATACGCTGATTCAACATAAATGGTATCTGTAAAAGTTGTTAGTACTCCTTTGGCAATGGGACATGTTATACTATTAACGCATGCATCCTTGTGAAGTACAAAAGGCGTTTTGATTGAACCAATATATCCATATATATTTGTAGTGGCGCTTTTGATATTTTCATCTGGAAAAAAAATAAATCGATTTTTCATTAAACAATGTCGTCCATTTTAACGAAATTTTCCAAGAAGTGCTTTTCATTATTAATCTTTATAACGAATTTGTACTTTCGAGCCGAATGTTTGAAAAGCAAACGATGTATAAAGATATATGGAACACTTTTAAAAAAAAATGATCCAAACATGATAGCCAGATTTATTCATTTAAGAGATTAAGTCATTTTGACGATATGTCCATTAAAATTGAAAAGACCAATAATCATCTACATGGCTTACCAAACGACTTTGGATTTCCTCGGCAAACACTTAAATACGTATTTCAAGTATATTTTTGTAGAATGCTAAAATGTCTAGCTGACATTTTCAAGTTTAAAATATGCTTAATCATTTTTGATCGTATTTCGGTGTATTTGATAGTATTTTGGTGTACATGTGTGACTAGTTTTTAATGTTTATTACGCATTTCTCTTTTTTCATGATACGTCAGAAATTGAAAGAACAAATGGCAGTCAAGAGTTCGTAAGTGAAAATAATGGTCGAGGTAGTTTTTTTTTTGGTCTAAATAGTGTCCACCTACATTCACATTTATATTTAGAATTCACAAAACTGATGAAATGAATATTTTGACTTACTTGGTGTCAGTTGAACAGTCAGTGTTACATTTGTATTCCTTTTAAATAGACATGGGCCTTTAGGACAATCAGACACTTCAAAAGTACTTATTACTGCTGCACTTGATCCTTTAAGATAATATTACAATGCACAAGTTAATACCTGAGAAATCAAAAACAGATCGAACCAATACCAAGCAATTTCAAACTTATTTCATTATTTGTCATCATTCTGACAAGTAAGAATTAAGTAATAATTCGAAAGCTTTTCTTAATAAAAAAAATGTCATAAATTATATTTTCATTGGAACGCAATTCAAATGATATTCTATCTTAGTGATTATTATTGAACCTTGTAAAGCAATGTCAAAATTAAAATGAATAAGTTTATTGAAAAAGTAATGCAATAAAAGAGTGAAGAATTAACATACCGCAGTCCTTGAATTCAGTACCAACTGCACCAAATATAAATTGTGCTAATATGGACCATATATGCAGAAACACTCGCAAAATCGATGCCATCTTCACAAATTATTACAAGAAAATAGACATAATGTTAATTTATATACATTTCAAGTATTAAAAACTAGTCTTTGGACATTCACTAGTCGAATCAAATTACGAGATTACAAATCCTTATGAATCGAACCATCAGGCGATGTTAATGATGTCTTTACTTTTGATGTTGTGGCTAAACGTCAAACAGAAGGTACAAAGTACTGTCCATGTAGAAATCTAATGAAAGATAGATATCGTTCATATCTGAAGTAAAAGAATTATAAATGTATATCAAATAAAAAAATATACTCGAAATATGTATTCAACAAATAAAAAAAAAACCACACACACAGCCAAGGTAGATGTACTTGTGACAACTGAAAGACAAAATAAAATAATGATGATAATAATAATAAAACACCACATTCCTGAACCAGATTTTGGCATAGGAAGACCGTCAATGAAATAGCAAGTCAGTATTATGGACTTGCACACAAATAAACCCACATGTTATCATAAAGTCTGCAATTGGCGAACAATTTTCGAAACGTACACAGGTATAGGTTGCAATTCTGTAAATACTGACAATGCAATTTCCCATTGGAACTCCCTTTGCGGCTAAAATTGTGACACTTTTACTATGAAGTTTCGTGAAAAATAATATCCCAGAACGGAAAGTTTATATGCACTACTATTTTATTCAAAGGTCAAAATATAGGGCTGTGCGGCATATTTTCAACATTTATATGCCCTGAACTTCTAAGAGTTTAAACTTATACTAAAATTCTATACTACCCTTACCTCCATTTTTGGACCTCCTAAGAATTAAAATTTAGCTGCTACCATGTTTTTCAATACTGGTTACATTCCCAAGTGATGTCTCGATGAGATGAAACACAGAGATCATCAATGGGAACCAGTACGTTAACAAATTAACATACCTATGAATATTAAATATCTCCCCAAAAGAGGCGTGGTTTGAGAAACAGCTGTATTTACAAAGTGCAACCTATAAAGACACGTTGAGGGGTTACAGTTATTTTCTGCATACGTACCTAATAATCTCTTTGCCAAGAGAAGTTCTAGAGGGGATATCTATTGCTTTTAGGAATTTTCTAATGTCAATTAATGCATGATGTTTTTTTACGAAGGTCCACACGAAAATAATTCATCTTGACCATTTATCCATGAATAGATTATTGGCCTTATGGTCGAGATATTAAAAAGTATCAATATGATTTTATAATTTTTATGATTTATAAAGTATAATAAGGTCATCGTGACCTCCATTTCATCCATGAATGGCTTTGGTTAAGTCTTCAGATAGTTTCAAGTAGAATTAAAAACTGCCAATAGCATTAATATCGGAAAGTCTTATACTGACATAACAAAACAAAGGTCGAACACAGATCAAAATGAAGATAAATGTCGTGTCGTAATACAAAAATGGTAAAATAGTCGTGTTTTTTTTTTAAATAAATGAATTAATTCGAGGTGTACTTTAGTTCAGAGATACTCAATCAACATTCACAGATAAGAAAAGGAGTTATAAGGAGGGAGAAATGGTGCTATAATATTGCATTCTCGACTTATGATCATGACGATAAAAAGAAATTGCTTTAAAAGAGGGTTTTAAAACATAAGAAATTTCGAAGATGTTTTTGTGGAAAATTCAGTTCTTAAAGCTCAACGTATTCCGAACACTAACATGCGTTACATAGCGGAGACAATCAGTAACAACAAAGAACAGATAGTAGGTAATTCTGTTCAGAGGTCAAAACATTGTAATTTGGAAATATTGGGCATATAGCTGAGTTGAATTGAACAAGATCGAAAAGACTTCACGAGGAATGATACTAGTGGATAGGTCCGTATGAATATAAAAAGCATAGCTAAATGTGGATTTGTAGGAATATGAATTAAAAGATAAGGCATTTAATTTCCAGGTTGTGGACGATCGTATCGATGGGGATTTGTGGACACACTTTCAAATTCAAATTATGTGCTTACAATATATTTTAAATGTGTGTGGTTGATTTACCGCCAAATAACTCTACACGAGAAAAAAATGTATATGAACTTTTGATGACTTTGATGACTGAAATCTACACTATACCAAATTGGCATATATTCTATTTAAAAGGAGACTACAACAGTCTGTGTTAGAACTTTTCCGCCCTTTTTGAGGGGATCGATAATCCCCGGAATGCAGCAATGTTGATTTTTAACAGAATGCATAAAGCAGCTAAATATCCGAAAACGGCTGCCGTAATAAACCTAGAATAAGCCAAAAAGCTTGCCGGAATATTAACTTTCAAAACTTTGGAATGATGAGTGTGCTGTTGAAAAGACTGAAATGAAATTCTAAAAACTCTAAAACAGATCTACGTCATGTTTGTTTTGAAGGATGAAAAGCTATCGACAGAAGTGTTCAGGTAAAACGTCAGGCACTATTGATATTCTGTATACTGAGCTTGTAAATTCTATTAGCAATCCGAACGAATAATTTGAAGAAAAAAAATCGGAGTCTAAAATGTGTGTTTTCACAACATTCAGATTTACCAGAATGATTGATACCGGATAATTTTTTTTTTTTGGCTTATATCCCGTGTCATAAAGAAATAAACAATTGGAAGTTATATAGTTCACAGTAATTAGATTTAACTCTTTTTGTTATTGTTATATAATACATAATATCAGATTTGAATGTAGCATGCGTGTGAATAAGGTATTAGCAAATCTTTAATTAACATGTGTGGCACTTATTCAACAATTTTCTAATTCCAGAACTGTAAAATCGTCATTTCAGATGCAGAAGGTAATTATATCGAAAGTATACAATGTATTGTAATTGATAATTGAATGGGTATATATTCTAAAGTGAATTCCTTTCTCTTTGTTTTTAGATATAAGTCATTGGTTAACTTTCTTAACAAATTACTTACACTCGTTTGTATAAGATTAGTTTATGAGTTCCTAAATATGCTTGATAACGAAATAAACGCCTCATATTTCAAAATATGTCCCCGGGTCCAGATTAAGTAAGATAATACAAATGTACTATAGATAAACATATGGTGTGATCAGTGAAAGAAACTATGATATAATGGCGTGATATTTTCAAATTTGTGTATTCATATATTCTCATCGCCGTAGAATTTCCAGTTTGTTTACATTTTTATGAAAGTTAGAATAGGATATTTAAACATGTACGCATATTCCAATATGAGGTGATATTTTCAGCCGAGGAATGCTTTTATGTACGTGTCAAACTTGTTATCGAACCATTTTTGAACTGGTTACATGTGACAACCTTTCGCAATGGCATGGAAAACATAGATAAGGTTAGTAATAATTACTCTTATCTATCTTCTCCCTTTCCCGTGTGACCAGTAGATCGTCATGATGTCCCTCAAAATTGTGGTTGTTATTCTGTGTTTTGTAGCATTGCAGTTAGGCTCTGCAACAGTATTCAAAGATTGTGGTAGGTTCATTTTGTTTGGAACTTTTTTTACGTCATTTTTGTTTTTCAGCAACGTAATCAAGTTAATAACTAGAAGAGCTCCAACAAATTAAGGTTGCATTAGTTCTTATTTGTAGAACTTAAATCGATGTTAGAGGCCACTATTCGAGAAACAAAACTGCTTTCGCAACGCATTAAAGAGTTTTTTTTTTTTTAATAAATGATTAATTAATTGGTTGATTTGTTACAGTTATTTGTTAAACGTCCAATGTCAATAATTTCGGGAATATTATGGATGATTACAAGTTTTAAAATTTACGATAAATTCATTATGTTGGAACATCCCCGAAGGATCTACCAAATGCTTCAGGTGGAAATTTTCAACTGTTGCTTGAAAAGATATATTAGATAGCGGCAGAAACTTTTTCTTTCTTCATCAGGTCATCAAAGGACGCCCTTAAAAATTTATCGGAAGGTTTTTTTCACGTGCAGAGAGAGCACGAGGCTCTTTGTGAGACATCAAATGAAACGTCACCATTCAGAACGGACGTGAATGTATTTATAATATAAATCCAAACCGATGTACATCTTTACATATGTTTTAAAACCCAATAGTCCAGGTGACCATATTTTGTATTCCCAAGTGAAGCCTTTTGATCTATTCTGAATAACTGAATGGTATCGAATGATTTGAAACATTACAAATTTCGCAAATCCGTGGAACCTTTAATCAAATTATTTCATAAAAAAAACAAAAAAAGAAGAACGGTTATCTACTGCATGTCTCATCTGTTATATTAGGTATCCACTGCATGTCTCATCTGTTATATTAGGTATCCACTGCATGTCTCATCTGTTATATTAGGTATCCACTGCATGTCTCATCTGTTATATTAGGTATACACTGTACAGCCACGTACTTATACATCACAAAAGTTAAGTGACGAATATTCAGTTGCTCAATATAGAACCTTTACTATTTTATTGGGCAGTTGCCTTTATGCTATAGTGAGACTGATTTTTTTTAGACTTAGATTCATTCCACATTGGTCGAAGTAGATTTCTCTTCTGCTTTTATGAATACCGGTATCCTATTTTTTGGGGGGTTATTGTATTTAGAAACAATTCAGTTAAAGACAACGGTGAACTGTTTCAAAACATTAAATAAACTCATCATAGATACCAATATAAAAACTTTGTCAGTGGCTATTCTTCCGGCTAGCCGGAAAAATAGCCAAACATGTCTATTCTTGCTTTTCTCTGCTATTATGCTATTTTTGCGGCCATACGTAACAATGAATAATAAATATGTTTTTAGTTCAGTGGTCATTGTAGCATCCAGTGGAGAATGCATTTGCAAAAATTTCCTCCCGTGCAAACACTGAGAATTGGAACTATTCATTTTTGCAAGTTCTACGCGCGGACGTTACTGATTATAAACTCAAGATAAACCGTTCTGGAAAATTGTACTACTAGTAATAAAAACAAAAATAACAACAGAATAACTAGGGGAATAAAATCCTCAGGTATACCAAATTTTTTTTTTACTTGCTGTTCTTTGGAACACGCCGAATCTCATTAAATAAAAGCAGCTTGCCAAAAGAGATGAAAAGAAGAATATTAACAAAATCGATTGATAAACAACAAAGACACTTTTGAATTAAAGCTACTTGGCAAAACTAAAACAAATCAAAATTCAAATGAATTTATTTCATAGCATACAGCATATTCAGACTTTGTTCTTGCTTCTATGTTCTACCTATGAATTTCCCGCAAGGTTAGTAGTCGGGCCAGTGATTTATGGCATCCGCGAACGTCTATGATTCCTAAAGAAGATCCTCAATTTATCTTCTCCTGGAAGTTTGGTTCCAATTTATTCGTCAAATGATTTTGCACGATTTTTATTTAAAATTTTCAATGATTTTTTAACACATAGAAAACGAGAGAAAAGGGTAGGCACATGTAAACTGCCCCCAAAGTAAAAAGACTGTGTCCATAATAGCAAAAAAAAATATTTATTGGGAAGATAAACAAAAAAGAGTAAAATGAAAAAAAGGGGGTTTAACTTTATACCCCAAGTCTGGAATACTATTCCCAGCCCAGGTATATCAGTTCATGTTAATAGATCTCCGTTGTAGTAGTACTTACACATCATGCAGCCAAGTTAGTATATTTGATTTAGCCGTTTTCCTGTGAATTAATTTATGTGTTTTGCCTTCATCAATACAGGTAAAGGAAATGGGGTAAATCATCAATTTCAGTCTGATTACACGCTTTATTCCTTTCAGTTTACGTGCACAAGCTATTGTTCTGGAGTCTGTCCCATAGAAATTTGTTATAAAGCAATCACATTCTCTGTCATTCTCTTTATGACATCTTTAAATATAAAACACGATCTCCAATTTTCACAACGTCCATTGCATACGCGCGTTTGCATTTCCGACACCTCATCCGGGTGACTGTCTGCGCCACATGACACTGCTGCTGAATTAAACATTTGGGCATGCGCTAACGGATTGCCGGAAAAATAGGCATTTCACCTATTTTACTGGTTTAATAGCCGGAACAATAGATATTCCGTAAGATTTTGTACGCCAGACGCACAGTTCGTCTACAAAAGACTCATCAGTGACGCTCGAATCAAAAAAGTAAAAAAAAAAAAAAATTAAAAAAAAGAGCCAAATAAAGTATGAAGTTGAAGAGCATTGAGAACCCAAAATTCCAAAACGTTTTGTCAATACAGCTAAGGGAATCTATTCTTGGGGTCGAAAATTCTTACTATTTTGAAAAATTTAAAGTTTTGTAAACAGTTAATTTATAATTATTAAAAAAAAGTATTAACAAAAATACCAATGCAAATTCAAAAAGTCCACAAAACTAGACAAAATCAAACGCTCGACTACATCAACCAGCGGAACGAATGAAAAACAATTGTAATTTTCCTGATTTTGTACAGACATTTTCTGAAGAAAATGGTGGGTTAAACCTGGTTTATAGCTAGCTAATCCTCCCAATTGTATGACAGTTGTTTATAGTTCCGTTAGATTGGCAAAACTGGATGAGCAACCAAAACATACATAATTAGTTAACAAGACAATAATTGGGATCCAGCAACCAAAAACTGGGTAAATATACATCACAGAAATACAAACACAACTGACTTAAAAATTCAGACAAACATACAAATATTGATAAACGAACATACAAATATTGATAAACAAACATAGAAATATTGATAAAAAATATTGATGTATTTTGCATTATTCATGTTTACTGATTGAATACTCAATTCACGTTAGATGAACTAAGTAGAAATCCGAATGCAAAAGGGAATTTTTATCCTTCTTTATCGTTCTTTAGATTGTAAATATTACATTATGTCAGTTGTTGATTATATATTGAAAATTCAAATAAACAAACATTATATCAGTATTTAGTTAGAAACACATCAGTTTTTGCCACAGCATTTGGTAAACAAATACTACAATCCTCAATCGGGACCTTCACACGTTTTACTGTGAAATTGCATTTAATTATAACTCCATCACGAGTACACTACTTGTTAACGTACCAGTTGTGTGATATAAAATTGAGAACTTGGCCCATTGAATTTGTATACTGGTCGTATGTTATTTCGAAAAAACTATGTCCGCAAACAAATCGAAGTATTTCCTACACGTAACGCGAGCGTGCGTGAAAAGATTCTGATTTTCTTTACTTTATTACAACATGATTATAATGGCATTAAGTTAACGCTTGATCCATTAATTGCATTAAACACGTCATAATTCCTTTCCAATTGGCTCGTCAAAGGTTGTTTATTTTTGTAAAGTTTCCTTCGTCTACCATTGAAAAGTTGATACAAACCACGGATCGATCAGAGGCGGACCAACTATGGCCGAAATCTGTATTTTTACGATAATATAGTTACAGACAAATGCATGGTTCAGATGACTGGAGAATAATGCACTCAAAAGTAAAATGTCGCATTCAGCGCCCATTTTACAAAACTTTGAATTTTTCGAACTACCAAGGAATAGATAATCTTAGCTGTATTTAGCAAAGCCTTTCGGAATTTGGGTCCTCAATGCTCTTCACCTTCGTACTTTATTTGATTTATCTTCGGATTCGCCAAAATTTCTTAAAAGCAAACAGTTACTATAAAGGATTTGAGAAACAGGTATATTGAAAATAAAACACATACATTAAAGTGTTAGGAGCCTAGAAGCAATCAAACATTTATGTTATTTCTTTCTTGTTTTAGGAACGAATGCAGGTACCCTTGCAAGTGTAGATGTTTCAGATTGTCCTCAGAATACAGTTCCATGTCCGTTTAAGAAGGGAACAAATGTTACATTGGTTGTTAAACTGACACCATGTAAGTTTTAAATGAACATCCAAGCTATTGCAAAGTTTCATCGAGATGTTTATGAATTTTATAAATTTATTTTATTGTAACTAATTATTACACAAATATTCATACAAATATCAACTCCGTACATTCTGAAATTTCAAGAAAGGCTTACTAAAACAGAAAAGAAATTAATCTAATAGAATTTTATTAGTCCATATTAGTTTAAGAATATGCCATCTGAAAATTCTTTGTAGTCTCTATATATAATAGTCATTTAAATACTATCAAATGATTACTTATACGGCTTGTCATTTTCCTTTTTTATAGAGTGTTTTATTGTTTATGATTATTTTACAGAATCAAATGATAATCTTTAACAAATTAAAGAAGAGTTCAAACATTAAAAAAACCTGAAAATCAACGTGTATTTCATGCCTACAAGTATCTGATAAACCAAGTTATAAGTTTTTAGGTACACGATTGTAATGAAGCACTGTAGTAATTGTTTAACCTAACGACAAACTATGCTAGTTCGAAATGCGCAAACACTTATTATGCATTAGTTATACATATGTATCTTGGCGTTTAAGGTAAATGTATACATCATTGCATGTTTTTTTTTTATTCTGTACAAGCAGCATGCAAACTTCCGTGGACAACTGTCCTTGTTTATTAAAGGGATGTTATGCTTAATCATTTTCCGGGGTATTTGTATGCATAATTATGTTTAAAAAATCGTTTCAGCCGAAGCCTCAAAAGGAGCAACATTAAATCTTTACGGCATAATTGCTGGAATAAAGACACCTTTTCAAACAAAAGTAGATGCTTGTAAAAACGACATTACTTGTCCTATTAGTCAGGGACAAGCAACAACGTTCACAGCTATAGTTTATGTTCAACCAGCATATCCAAAGGTAGGGAATGTATTCTTTTAGCTATGACCAGTACGCCCGGGCGTGGATTGGTTTTTAATAATTGAGAGACGTTTATCCAATACCAGAGGGGTTGGACCAGGAACAATTATATGTAAAAACCGTGAGAGAGACAGAAGAAAAACGACTTCAAATCGCTGAAGATACTTCACATAAAATAATTTTTTTTGTTTATTTATGAGAAATAATCAATAAAAAAGATATTTATATAATAGAATATTCAAGCAAAATCACACTAATGATATAGGCGTGAAAGGTATCTTGATGAAATGTTAAATTTTATTGCCAAGTTTTAACTCGCTATTATTTTAAGAGTCATTCTCTGTAAGCAACACATTTTCTGATATAGGGTTGGAAAGTGAGGACCTCAAATTGCAATGAAACTTGATACTTTATACTCAAATGTCAAACTTGTTTGAAATAAAGTGTTAGACTGATACACGGGTTGCCGTTGCCATGGTTTCCATACATTACCAAATATGGGATCTACAAAACGGTCCTTCGAGCTGTGAATTACGAGTTTATGATTTCTGCTTTTGTCAGTGTGTCTCGGTCACTTTTATTGCAGATACGCACACATTTCGATGTTTTAAAGCAGATACATTTTTGTATAAAGCTCATGAGTTTAGAATTGTTCTTCAAATTATTTCCTTTTGGCTTTAAAGATTTATTGAAAGAAGTTTAGAAAAAAAACTATTGTTGTTCAGTCGTTGAACCACTAAAACAAAAATTTTCTGCATTGAAATTCTGTATAAATAGTTTGTTCGTGTCTATGAATTGTTTATAATGTTGCTACAAGTATATGCAATGATCTACTCTTAAGGTCTTACGATTCAGTTATAGGGGAGGTAATGATGTTGCTAACGTAAAATGTTATTTTTCACGACGTCAAACTGTGACATATCGTGAAAAGATGCATTTTCGACTGATTTTTATCATTCAGATTGATTTAACTTGAAATCAAGTTCATGGACCCCTCTTTAAAAATGAAATTTGGCTTGATTATGTATGAAGATTCTTTGTTCCAATTTTTATGAACAAATCACCGATGAAATGTTTTCAAATTAGATAAGTATACATAAAAAAATACCGTTCTTTGACCAAAATCAAGAAAATGTGATAAAAATTAATAATTTCCAAAGAATTGTTACACAAATTCAAAGCACACTTATGTAGAGAAGATATTCCAGATGCTTTTACAAAAATCCGCTTGTGTTATCTTTTGAAACAAAAAAGTTATGTATGTCTTTCCAAAGGATAGAAATGTTTAAGAAACCGAAATTTCCAGTAAATGTCTGAAATTTCAACCCCATTTATTTCTTAAAGTAGCACATGAAGGTATATTTTTTATTACATATTTGAATTGACTAGGTGAAAAAATAGCTTGTATGCAAACTTTCGTCAAAAATTCACCTGGGGATCAAACCTGTATCATATGCCCTTAAGTACAGCGACCGATATAAGAATGCAGGACAGCATGAATTTAAATCGCCACGTTAATTAATTTGAGCTTGTCTTAGGAAATGCGAGTTGTAAAATTGTTTATTATTGTTTTGGCGCTGATTATATATTATAAGTAAATTATTGAGCTGTGCCTTTCTTGTACTGATTTCTAAGGTATAGAAATAAGGAGATGTTGTATGATTACCAATCATACAAGTAGCCATTCAAGACCAAAGGATAACTATTGTACAATGTGTCATCGTACGTGACTTCAACAATAAGCAAAATCATATCGTATAATATAAAGGCCGTCGGCTTGGAAAATGTGAAACAATTCAAGAGAAAGCCAACGGCCGGACATATACTACAACAGTAAAACGAAAAACCTTTATGGCATATTGCAACAAACGAAAACCAATTCATTAAAGGTTTTTTGATTTGAATAGGAACATAAAAGAATATGGGACAGTGCAGTAATGACACAACATAAGAACATACTGAAAATATCAGTTGTCTCATTAGATCGGTACTTAGAACAAAAACGAATACAAAAAGGTCAAGAGACACTAAGTATCGATTCAGGAATACCCGCAGTTAATGAAAGCTAGTTCAAAGGCCAATTACATTTAATAAATAAGCCATATTTTCTAAATTATGTACCTTTTGTTAGTCAACGGATCGAGATTAAAAAGAAGGGTTGACTATACAAATATTAACAGATTCCCCTTCATTACGTGTTTAAATCTAGTGTCCATTTATGTTAATGTATGTAGGATCCCATCAAAAGATTGAACTGCTGAGAGATATTGTTCATGGTAAATCGCTTGTATTTAATGATGCATTTCTATTAACTAGGGATATTCTGTAATATTTGATCGAGTCGATATTTAACATCAAACTATTAAATAGCATGTGAATAGTTATATATTTTGTTGATATTTTGTTTCAGCTCCGCCTAGTGGTAGATGTAGAATTGACATCAGATGATGGCAAATTTCTTGTTTGTGTCCAAGTTCCTGCTGAAATAACAGACTAGTTTAATATTTGAATGCATTGCCTGATAACATATTATGTTCTTACATACAATATCACATACTTATTGTTCTAAACGAAATAAAACTTTAAAATTCTGAGAGTAGAAATACAAAGAAACGTTCATTTTATTTAACTAAGTATTTTCATTGTTGTGTCTATCGGAAGCATGCTTTTCAATCCTTTGTTCTAAAATAAAAAAAAAATATAAACAAAATACCGAACTCCAAGGTAAATTCAAAAAGGAGAAGTCCATAAAAACTGACAAAATCAAACGTTAGGCTTTATTAACCAAGGGAACGAATGGAAAAAAAACTGTCATATTGCTGACTTGGTATAGGCATTTTCTGAGGAAAATGGTGGGTTAAACCTGGTTTTATAGCTAGTTAAACCTCCCACATAATATATCACTTCTGATTTTCCTAACCAGTCGTAACATACTGAAAAACAAACATGTAGATGTTGTCAGAAACAAGTCGGAGGAAAAAGTCCTTAGTGTACGATGGATTTACTTTCCGAAACGACACAACACCTGTCTATTTTACCAGATTCCCTTTTTAGTCTTTGGGCATCACTACGGTCAGCAGAATCCAGGCGTACTACAAACGGTCCGGAATCATTCCATGCTTACTAAATTGAGCAATTTTATTCAGCACATCCATGTATTTTTGTATTTTGTGTTTTCTTAAAGCAGTGGTCTTCAAATATACAGTACGTTACGACATGTAAAATCAGTACTTTTAATCTTTAGATATGCTATATTTTTACATTTTTATCTGTATATATTTCAAGAAATAACTGCTTGTGCATAATAAAACGAGCGTATCCTGCTCTAAAATAACAGTTGCATAAATAAATAAGTATAGCCTACCTGTATTTACCTGAGTTTACTTGCAAAAGAATGCGTGCAAATGTAATCAAAAGATGCGCGCAAATGTAGTGGGAATGCGCGCAAATGTAATGCACCGACTTTTCAATCCTTTGTTCTAAAATAACAGATCATTTCTGATTTTCCTAATCAGTCGTATATTAAGAAAAATTACATAATTGACGGCTTACAAATTTGTTTGTATCCATTATAATACCGATCGATAATGGCTCAACGGATAAAAACAGAAGTATGATGGATGTTACTAGTGAAACACAATCTATCGCCACTTCCAGAGAAACTGAATTCTACTTTTTCGAGTAGTTTGTGTTTCTCAATCAGCTTTTTCTGTGTGTAAAGTTATGTAGACTTATTCATCTTTTTACCACTATGCTGTTGTCTGTCTCTCGTCGTATAATTTTGATAAAACCCTTTGTATCATCTTATTTTTCAGGTTTGAAACATCCCTAAAAAATAGTTTGGCTACCTAGGGTCCCGTCGTATACATTTACATATGTTTAATTATTATGACAAATGTAAGAACACTGAATGCAATGTTTGTATGGAGAGTTCAAAAGAGTTATTTGTGCACCGATTAGTTTAGCTTCAAAACACTTATATGTGGTTTTTTTTATTGGTGAACAACCGTTTGCAACAAATACGCCTTCAGTGAATTTTGCTATTATAAACGTTCTTTATAATCCTTCTACAATTACTAACGCTCATAGACTACCCAACTCTATACACATAACCACAGCCTCATAACACTAATAAAAACCAAACTAATGTTTCAAATTGAATACCCACACGACAGTGCCATGTGCTGATTTTAATTGCACATTATGATACATAATATCATGTCGACAAAATATAGTCAGTAATTTATAAATACTACTGAAATCAAAACATTAGATATAACATGAAATAAATTCACATAAGCAAGATAAATTTTAAACTGTGAAACGTCTATTCGAGACGGCCCTGTTGTGCTGAATGGTTACCGGTATATCCCATGAAGCGCGGGAATAAAAATAACGGTCTATGGGCAGACAACTAGAAGAAATTAATTTCAATCTAATTCAGTTCCTTCAAACGGTTGAAATTATATTTTCATCAAAACGATGAACTTAATATACTTAAATATTTTATGGCAAGTCATAACCACATTAATTAATTAATTAATCCTAGTTTATATTTAAAGATAAACCGAGATTATCTCGGCTGAATTTCCTACACATCTAATATTTCCAGAGACGAGCATTACCGAATTACTTCGTGACACTCCACAGATCAATCAGTGCAACTATTAATACAGAAAATATAACGAAATAAAAGAAATTCTTATAAAGGATGTGAAATTTAACTGATTTTGAATTATGTATACAGGCAACATCATGGTCTGAATTGAATTTAATAAGATTTATCACTGCCTTTGATGCTGATCGGTAGGTCACATTATTCTATGCATCATACAAATATGTCCCTCGCGGCGGGATATAAGTATAAATTTATGCACATTGAATATATATATAAGAATAAATTTTAATCCTTTGACAAGATGAAAGGTTTTATAATCATGATAATCCTTGTCACGTTTTAGCTAATTTTCAACTCATAGGGTGAAGATATGTAAACAACTTATGTTTTGTATTTGTTCGATAACGGTTCATAAGATATAGGTTTTCAAAAGTAGTTTTTAATTTGAATTAATTCGACACCTGTGGCAAAACATTAATCATATCATTGTTTGTATAAATATACTAGATGTATTAAGCCATAGATAAAGTACTCAACATATGCCCCTTTACATATCCTTGGCATAAGAATTGATACAATTAATTTCTGCAAATGCTAAAATTTTAAAATTTAAGTTATGATTTTTTTAATAATACAGCTTTCTCCACGAAGAGGAAAAACGTTTTTTTTTCTAAAAAGTCTGATTGCAAAAAAATAATCTGAATAAAACCTAACGGAATATAATTGCCATCAGGGTTAAGACTGCTGAAACACTTTGAGAACATGCCAAATGTGCACAATGTGTAAACAGGCACATTTGTCAGTGTTATATGCCTGATTACAGATTTTCGTTCGTTTGTTCGTTTAGATAATGTAGCGCTGTACCTCCATGTTTACAGTGATTTGCAGATGATTAAACTGACTGCAGTCCTTTTATACCAATACCTAGTTTTATTTTTGAGATATATATATATTTTGTGTCAAATTTTATTTTTCAAAAGTATCAATTACGCCAGAATACGAAATTCATTTACTTCAAATTACATATAGGCCTATTTATCAACTTATAACTATGTTTACCTGTTAGATAGTTCAGGCCTTAGTAAGTTATGGAATCTTAAATACAATAATATATGGAATAAACGGGACTGCTGTACTTCACGTTAAAATGCCAGATTTTGATTGGTTAATACGAGGGAGATATTTTTTAATGTCATCGTCTCGTGCAGACCAATAAAACACATTGATGATTTAAAAGACATTACATCAATCTGTTTAAAGACAATGCTAAAGTTCAACGTATCGACCTCAGGCCTGATTCATAGACTGTCAATAACGAAATAATACATCTTGCTTCACTTTTGTTACGTTTCTAATGACTGTTATGTTGTTATGTATATAAGGTCATATTTATACCCCAACCCCCAATAATGAATTGTGAACATCTTGATAAGACCTTTAAAGGGGGGTTAACTACGTGATATAAAAAAATTAAATGTCATTTCTTTTTTGTTCAATCGTTAATGAAAGTGAAATGATGTTTCGCTTTTATAGGCCAATTTGGTTCAATTTTGTCAAAATAAGCTAAGAAACATCGCCGATGAATTATTCACTTGCAAGTGAATAATTCGCCCTCATTGAATCCTTATTCATGTAACCTTCAATTTAACCCCTTAGCTGGAGATGGGTTGCGCATGTATTCAGCTATTAAAAGGAAAAGAATGTCAACATTGAAAGTGAAACAAGGATTAACCATTTGGTTGACTGATTCGATCCACAAAAGAATCATTCTTATACAGGTAAAAACGATGATAAACACACTTTCTCACCTGCAATATGAAATCAAACAGACCTAGAAAAATCCAATTACACGTGGTCGCTATCTATTTATATTTATTTTTACTAGACCACACCCGCGACATAGCGGGTCCATGACTGAATTGAGTTATCTAATCATGTATAAGCCTTATTTCTAATCTGGATTTTTAGTATTGGTATTGTCATATGATAAAGTCATGTTGATTATAAGAGGCACGGTTTTCTCTGCTTTCAAAATCTTTCTGTTTGAACCTGTCGACCTGGAACTTATTAATTACTATTAGTATTTATTATTTGAAAAACAAATGGGCCTGGAGTGGTGTAATTTGTAATCAACATCATTGTCCTATATTAGTTATATATAGTTGAATTCTTTAATTCGCCGTTTTTACGTCATGCCGGCTAACAAATTGGAAATTGTACCTACGCCTTTATTCAAGTATGGATTTTTGTCTCGCCTTGACGGAGTCAAAAAGCGAGACATAGGTATACTGTTTCCGGCGTCGGCGGCGGCAGCGACGGCGACAACAATGTATTAGTTTGTGATTAGGTCTAGTTCATGGTGAACCACTAGTGGTAGGTCAATGATATTTGGTATGCAGTTGTATAAGCATTGGTATGGAACGCCATAGCTGTCTTATGTGTCTTTTTTATTGCTTTTCTATTATACGAAGGTGCTTTTCTATTATACGATGGTGGTTTTCTATTATACGAAGGTGCTTTTCTATTATACGAAGGTGCTTTTCTATTATACGATGGTGCTTTTCTATTATACGAAGGTGCTTTTCTATTATACGATGGTGGTTTTTGATTATACGAAGGTGCTTTTCTATTATACGAAGGTGGTTTTCTATTATACGAAGGTGCTTTTCTATTATACGATGGTGCTTTTCTATTATACGATGGTGCTTTTGTATTATACGAAGGTGCTTTTCTATTATACGATGGTGCTTTTTTTATTATAATAAGGTGCTTTTTTATTATGTGATGGTGGTTCCCGTGATTAACCGGAAGCGTGGCGTGTATTTGAATCTCACCGAACCAACATGGCGGCCATGGCTGTGAATACTAAATACTAAAATGTTAAATATTTTACAGAAATTAAACTTGCAGCAAGCATTTCCAAACTTTGAGAGAGAGAAAATCACTCCAGACATTGTATGTAGGCTTTCGACA